ATCTTTCTACGGTCGTAGATGCAATTATCGAAAGAAGTCAGCGTCCATGTACTAGATGGTGGCCTTTTATTGGGATGTTCAGCTCCCTCTCGTTAGTTAGCTACCGATCTGCAGCTGTGCAGTGAGTCGAGTCAAGCGTGGAGTACTGACGCCAGGTTATTCGTGTTGCCATAGCGCATGAAGTCTTGCCACCAGCTGGCCTGGGGAATTCGCACAAACGGGCCTCCTATTATGTCCGATTTCTTTACCGCAGTTTTCCCTTTTAGCCTTTGACGATCAGACGTCTCACTGCAAGACTGCTGTGACATTAGCGGCCCCGTTTTTCTCAGGGGGAGAAGAGGTTATTTCCCCACGTTTGAGTCTTGCATTGTGTACAGTGACCTTTTATGTGCAAATCATTTTTGTTGAGCTCCAACCCAGTTACGCCATGCTGGTCATCATGGTCACCTGTCCGTGACTGTTTACTTTTCGCAGCTTACTTCCACTTCTTAAGTCGCTCTCTCATACTCGATTCGCTGACACTTATCCTTTGGGGTCGATTAGACATGCACCTCTGACAGTGCCTCCAGCGTTGCAAATTATGTACCAGCATTTGATATTGGGCAGAAAACAACCTGTCTCTGGAGCAGAATCATTCAATACACACGGTGCACATTCTTTTGGGCCGTCCCCAGGGTCTTCGGCTGATCGGCTGCGCTAGGAATGGCCGTCACGCCTTCATTTCTGAAAGCACTCGCATGATCTGTCTAAACCATTGCAGCTGTGGCTTTCCAATCTGGAGACGCAGTGGCTGTACACCAATGATGTCTCGGATATCTGTATTTCAGACCATTTCGAGACTCGTGAGCCCAGCAATTCATTTCAGAAAGCCTATTTCAGCGGTATGTGCCATAATCGACGCTTTCAGTTACAGCTCAAGCTTAGTGATTACGGGAAGCATGGTGATGAAGATCGACATAGCTTGATCTTCACATTCAGCTCTGTTTTTGTCACAACGGTTTGAATTAATTTATTCACAATGCCACCGGCTACTCCAGTCTTACGGTCGCTTTCTTCCTCAAACTCTTCATCGCGAATAATAAACACGATCATCAGGTACGTAAACTCCTCTGCCTATTACACTGCTTCTCCGTTCATCTGTAGGGAGCAAGGGGCATAAGAAG